ACCAAGGTTGAGGGCTTCTCCGACCTGGGCTGGCCATCCGTTCCCTCACTGGAGCCGGACTTGGCTTCGCTGTGTGGCGTCGAGGCCAAGAACCACCTTGTTGGACCGCGAGCAGTTCCCTCTTCTAAGCATGACCAGCTGCTGAGGCAGCTCGCCGATCGCACACACCAGTGCGCCTTCCAGACCGGCGCTGCAGGAAATAACATCGCCTTCTCGCCTTTGGCGTTCCCAAAATGGTGGAGGAGGTTGACGCTCCTGTCGAGTCAGAAACCATCATTACTAAAACTGCTGATGCCATCCTCAATCTGTGCGTGGCTGTACTCACCGGTTCTGCTCGCATTGCTGCCTGGCAGACCCTTATCCAGCGGGCCTTGTGGCTCAAGGCCCTGCCCTCCATTCCTGAACACCTGCACAGGGAGATGCTGGAAGGCCCCATCACCTCTGACGTTCTGTTTGGTCCCCATCTTACGAGCGTCATCGAGAGGGCTCAGACGGCGGCTGAACTTTCAGCCACGGTGCGAGACCTGGTCCACTCTCGGTCAGCCTCGCACTCCGGCCGTTCCCCCAGAGGATGGGACGAACGGCGAGGAAACTCCAGGCGCCCAGCTGCATGGCCAGCCCCGCAGAGCCGGCCTCCCACTGAGGCGGGACCAGGGAGTTGGCGGCCAATGGTTCCGAATGAGCCAGCAGACACAGCCTTGGCAGTCTCAGTCACAGGAATCTCGCCGAAAACAACCACGAAAATGACTCGTTGGAGGAATGTGTGTATTTATGACTAATGTTAACTCTGTGAATGATTTTGGTTTTGAAATAAAACCCAAAAAACGTCACATCGAGAGCACAGTCCTACAGTCCTCTGCAGAACCCTCTGCCGAATCCTCACACATGATGTTCCCCGCACCAAGCACTGCAGCACATCTGCATGTTCACACAGTCTGACTCGGTCATGTTACACGGCTTGCTGTAAGGGTGCGCTCCATTTGCGCAACGGCCCCAGCCTACGGCCGGGCCCGACTCATCCCGCTTCCCCCACAGCGTTGGGTGGGACGGGATGTCATGGTGCTGTTGCGACCAGGCGCAAAGCGCGCATGTTGCGCGGCTCCATCCGCTGGCACTTTGTCGTTCCCATGCACGGGCCCGGCTCCCACTCGTCCTTCATCCTTGGACTCCACGCTCTGCGGTGCGGATCAGCCTCTTCCAGCTGTTTCACACTCGCCCTTTCGAGCACAGCCCTCCATGGGTCGCTCCCAGTTCTCTGGTACAAGCGACGGCGGTAAGGGCGCGAACCCAATCCTCACGTGACCTCGAGCACACGTCCGCTGTCGAAACGCGCGCACGAATGCCTCCCTTTCGGCTACTCGCTAGCCCAGCGCACTTTCTCCAAATGTCTGGAGACCGCGCTGCAGCCACTGCGCACGGCGGGAACGAGGGTTTTATTTTACCGGGACGATCTGCTCCGATGCGCCTGGTCCGAGGACGAGGCGTCAGAGCAAACCAGGAAATTAACAGAGCATCTGTCAACCCTGAGGTTTTCTATAAACTGGGGGAAGAACTCCATCCTTCCATCCCAGTCAATTGTGTTTCTCGGGGTGGAGCTGAACGCCTCCCTAATGAGAGCACGTTTGTCGCCCGTGAGAGCGGCAGATCTCACCACGGTGATCTCCCGCGTGCAACCCCGCAAGATCGTGAGAGCCCTGTTAGTCATGAGACTTCTGGGCATGATGGCTGCAGCCCACTCGGCGGTGCTACTAGGGTTGTTGCGCTCGAGGCGCCTGCAACGCTTATCCGCCTCCGGGTACACCCGATACGTCAGAAGAGACGTATGTTGAGGGTTCCCCCCTCAGTGGGCGGGGGCCTCGCTCACTGGGGGAACCCCTGCATCCTCTCACACGGGGTCCCCATCGGAAGTCCTACGTCACACGTATCTGTGTTTACGGATGCGTCACTGTCTGGGGTGGGGGGCACGTGCTTGTCCCATACGGCGGCAGATCGCTGGCCCTCCCACACGCACGAGCACATAAATGTGTTGGAGCTTATGACAGTGAGGAATACACTCAGACACTTTGCTGCCCTTCTCGATGGCCGTCATGTCGAAGTTCACACAGACAGCCAGGTGGCGACAGCCTACATACATCGCCAAAGGGGAGTTCGATCCCTCCCACTATTGCGCGTAGCCACAGGTTTACTGTGTTGGGCACATGTCCACCTGCTGTGCCACCTACATTCTGGGGATCCTGAATGTAGCGGCAGACATCCTGTCGAGAGGGGTCCCCGCGACTCCGACTGGCGTCTGCATTCCGCACATCTGGATAAAGTTCGGGGAACTGTCTGTGGAGCTGTTCACGGCTCGCGAAAACGCTCAGTGTCGCCTGTGGTTTTCCCTGAGTCCCCGGGACCAACCCCCGTTTGGGGCGAACGCCTTCTCACACCAGCCCTGGCCTCGAACGCTCCTGTATGCGTTTCCACCAGTTCCTCTGATTCCCCGTCTCCTGGACCGAGTTTGGTCAGAACAGCTCTCGGTAATTCTGGTGGCTCCCAGACGCCTGTCTGCGTCATGGTTTCCGGACCTGCAAGCGCTACTGTCCGGCTCCCCGTGGAGACTCCCGTGAAGGGAGGACGCCCCTCCCCAGGCGGATGGGATAATCAAACATCCTCCAGAAATAGGCCAACGGCTGTAAGTCTGGCCGCTGAGCGGTCACGCTTAGGGGTTTGTTTCTGGGCTGCCGCATGATGTGGTCACCACGATTCAGAGTGCGCGGGTGCACCATCACATCTTATGCTGCTAAATGGGCAGCTTTCCAGAAATGGTGCACAGAGCGGAATTTTCAAGCGCCCTCCTGCCAGCTGGCGGATGTCCTATCGTTTCTACAGATACTGATGGACAGGGGCCTCGCATTCAGCACTATTAAAACATGCTGCAGCTATCTCATCCTGTCACCAGGATTTTGGTGATGGGTCTGTTTTCGGTCATCCCCTCACAAAACGTTTTCTAAAAGGTGTCAGAAGGAACAGGCCTGTGTCCCGCCCGCTAGTTCCCCAGTGGGATCTAACGGTGGTTCTGCGTGGCTTATTTGAAGCCCCATTTGAAACCTTGGACCAGGTCTCACTCAAGTTCCTGTCACAACTGCCTTGCTGCTGGCACTGGCATCAGTCAAGAGAGCGAGCGACCTAACTCGCCCTCTCAGTGGCTCCCGCATGCCTCAGAATCCGGGAAGATGGAGGGTCTGCTGTTTTATGCCCCAGCCTTTGTGCCCAAAAACATTAATACTTCCTTCAAATCCAGGTCAATTTTCATTGGCTGAACTTTTTCCTCCTCCCCATAATTCTGATGAGGAGGCGACTTCCCATCTTCTCTGCCCGGTGCACGCGCTCGCACGATATGTGTCACGCACTTCAGGGATTCGCCGCTCACAAAGCATGTTTGTGCGCTACAGGGAGTCTTCCCTTGGGCACGCGCTATTGGCCCAGTGCCTTTGACTCTGACTATGTGACGCCATTTCACGCTTACACATCAGCAGGGCGGGATCCCCCTGAGACACTCAGGGCTCACTCAGCCAGAGGGATTTCCTCTTCTATGGCGCCCCACAGTGGTGTGTCAATGGAAGTCATTTGTCAGGCTGCTTCATGGGCTTCACCCTGTTCCTTTACTTGTTATTATTTATGAGATGTGTCTTCAGGATCCATCACTCGTTCAGTGCTTGGACCTCAGCAGGCTGAGTGAATGCATTATGGCACCACATCAGCCTTACTTGAATGAATTTCATCCTCTTGTGGATGATATTTTTTAGTGGGGGCCTCACTTTTATCTCTGGCTGCGTCAGCCTTTTAAGCCCTGGGCTGAGGCTGAGCGACCCTCACTAAAAGGAGACTTGTTGGGTGTGTCCATTGGTTGAGCTAACCAGTGTGGCGTAAACCCATCCAGCTGCGCATTATTCCAATAGCAGCTCGCTTAAGGGCTAAGACTAGACGAAATAGAACATTGGTTACGTATTGTAACCCCAGATTCTATGAGTCTAGTTGCAGCCCTTAAGCCACTGGCCCCACTGGTTCTGTTAGGACTAAGAGCCATCGGAGGCAAACAGTGGGGTCGTTCCACTTATATAACCCACAAGGGGTGCCCACGTGGTGGGCGTACATTTAAGCTCTTCATGATTGGCTGATGCTGAGATCACCCTTCCAATAGCAGCTCGCTTAAGGGCTGCGACTAGACTCATAGAATCTGGGGTTACAATACGTAACCAACGTTTTTCATCTGATGATATTAGAACATGTCAGTGATGTCTGAGGAGCTTTTACAAACACTGTATAACTAATACTCCTGGAGAGGGTATGAATTACAGAGGCTTCTGGGGAGCCCAGTTATTGGGGGGGTCATTTTGCCTTGGCCCCCAAAATGTCTTGAAACAGCCCTGGGTGTGTGACTGAGTTTTGAAGGTGATCTGAGCTGTATCAGATGTATAAATGTGACATGTGTATAACTTATTGCTTTATACAGGTAAAAATGTGTAGTGGAGATAAATCTACCTACATTTTACTTTTTGTTTTGTTTTCTTGTTTTTATTGAACTATTTTCCTGTCCTGTCTGTCTCTCATCTTCCTGCATCTCCTCTAAACTCTCCAGAAAAACTGCTGCCTGGATTCTTACTTTTTCACCTTATCACTGTAAACCCGAATAAGTTGACTGAACTTAAAATTGTTGAGGTAATCAGTTTCCACAAAAGTTTTAAGTAGACAAACCATATATTTTATGGTTGTACTCAAAATTTGTATTTATTGTTAACTTAAAATGTTCAGATAATATTCTATATTTAAATAATTAAGATAAACTTAAAACTTATATATTTTAATTTTAACATTTTTGTGTTACTTGTAGTTAAATTATTTGATGCAACAGAATGTAATTATATTACAACCTAAACTCAAGTAATATGATTATTAACTAATTAAATTACCTTTCTTTTTTAATTGTGTGTGGACCACTCAAAAAAAGTATATGGCGATTCACTTAACATTTTGTTTATTAACATTTTTATGGACTTGTGAAAAACATCACATAAATGTTTTTTTTATAAAACCATCAACATGGAACCACTGACATGGACTGGAGCACAAGTGAGCGTACAAAATGCTGCTAATAACATTTAATAACATTTTTATAAAATCATAAAAGAACATCAGTCCTAAAAGTCATCTTTCTTCTAATATATAAAAATGAAAAACAAAAGGTCAAACACAAAAGAGATTTTTTTAAATAAACAAAAATTAAATAAAATAAATATTTTTTAACAGGTTCAAATAATGTTTATCGGCACCCAAATAACCTTGTATAAAAAAATGAGGTAAACTGATGGGAATTACATCCACCCAAAGCCTGTAGAAAACTTAAAAGTGCTTTAAATAAAATACTTCAAAGAAGGTGCTCAGTAACAGTGTGCCTGTCCTAACAACCAGTTGCCTTGCATATCTTTCATAACTACTCACTCTGTAACAAATCATTTCTAAGAGCATGAAGGCTGGGTTTCAGTGGTTTGCCATCATCAAGCCCCATGAAGACTTTCTGGACAAAGGTGAATGTGTGAACTAGTTTCCTGGGGTAGTCCAAATGCAGAGCATAGATCAAGCCAAACAATAAGGCATATGCATCAGCAAATCTGGCAATATCACGGATCACCAAGTCGCCTTCCACCACAACAGCCATGCTTGAAGGACTGAAATGGACTGGACTGGTCTCAGCAGAGCCGTCAGCAACCACTGTGAGAAGGGCAACTGGAGTGTCAGTCAGGTTCGTCTCATCCAGCGTGCCCGCCTGGAATAAACACAGTATCAATAAGTAAGGTTGACTTGAAGGGCCGTGACAAGCATTATTTGTAATCTAGCAAAATATTCTGCAGTCTTGTGGGTAACACGTTAGTGACACATCAAGAGTCCTCTATTTACTATTCTTTTAGAAAATGTGTAAATTAATTAATTAGATTTGTGTGTTTATAGCAACTAGGGTTGGGTATCGAGCGGGAGACGAAGGCGGGCAAAACAGGAAAGGAATCTAGTAGCGGACGGACATTGTTCCGGGTCTTCGGTAATTGGCGGAGATGTTAGTGAAGGCGGAGAAGAGGGCGAACTAGAGGAAAAACAGGCAGATTCCTCCTCTATTTACAAACTCCTGGGGATGCAACAAGTGGGCATGGTGCGTCGACTACTGGATCTGACGTCAACGAATTTTTACAATCAAGCCGTCGACGTCATCAACGCTTTGCTACAAATCTACCAACAGGTATGGTTTTGTTGGTGCGTTAACGCAAAACTGCAGTAAAACATAAGTCGGAGAAACAGGATGCCAACTCATCACATGAAAAAGAGAACATCAAAAAGAATGTGAGAAAGAAACAAAACGAAGACACAGGAGAGCAACAAAACAGGAAGCAGAAAGTTTGTGCCCCTGCCCCGCGAAATAGGAAAATGAGCGCCGACCAGAATTAACGAGTAGCGTTTAGACTACCGCGTTCTTGCTTCAAATTTAAGGAAGTACCTGGCTGATGCAGAGTTGATGAACTTTTCATGGACAAGTGTTTAAAATATAAATATATGAAAACACATCATGACATGAGAATAATACTTGTAAAACAACGTGTTTTAGCTCTGCTTGTCAGCTACAGAAGAACATTTATAAACATAAGACGTACAGTCGCCATCTTAAAAAAACGGGGCGACGGAATTCTGGTGTAATATGCATGTTCACTACAGTGGACGGTACCGCGGTATGCGTGCGTCTTCCATGGTGAAATATCCATCAGAAGAACGCATCACATTTGTCCCTGTCCTCGTCTTGAATTAAATAAACGTTAATTTTACCAGGTAAAAACACATTCGCTGTAAACCTGAGGGTTGCTAGTCCGTTTGATTGATAGCTGTAGTTCATCTCCGTCCTCAGTCTCAATCAACGTTATTTGAAAAAAAAATAAAGAAATGAGTTGACTTTACATCCTTCTGTTAGTGCAGCTGGCCACGTAGCAAGTTGTTACCATTTTACTGTGAAACCAAGTAAATAAAAGCGATAAAGGGCTACAACGGGCTTGTTTTGACTAGCTTCACTGGAATTTTGACGTGTAAACGGTCTTTTTGCCGACCATCATGGAGAACGGGGCAGTCTCGTGCAAAGGGTCAATAGCGAAATCAGGGTTTCTGTGTGTGCGCAATCTATTTGGGTTTGCCTCCTCCCACCCCCATTTGTGACACACACACCCTAATTTGAGCCCAGGTTTGATCCCCCCCAACACACAAGTCTAATGCAATGTTTGTTAAAGCAATTGTGAAGCTGCTTTGTAATAAAACCATATAAAATAATCCATGGTATGTTATCTCACTGGTAGAATTTAAGTAATGCAAGAGACACTTACATCACATGTCTTAAAGAATTCTGGGTCTTCCTCCCGCAGGTATACTGGAAGGGCACGTAGCACTGCAGTCCGTTTCACATCGACATCAGGTGCTTCCTATAAAGGGAAAAGAAAATAAGAGTTAATTTAACACTAAGTTTACAGGTGTCATTGCCTGGGAATAATACATGTTTATGACACATTAGGCTCTGCATAATTTTGGAGACATTTATTTTGAGACACAACCTGTCTCTCATGACAAAGAGCTTGTTTCTTACTCATTTGACAAAAATCCTAAACATTTTTTTTCAGGGTTATCTAGACTAACACTTTTGTTTTTGCTCCCATTTTTTAGGCCTGTTGGATATACTGCCAAGTTCTCTGAAACGCCTTTAAAGACGGCTTATGGTAGAGAGATGAACATTCCTTTCATGGGCAACAGCTCTGGTAGACATTCCTGCAGTCAGCATGCCAATTGCACGCTCCCTCAAAGGTTGCAACATCTGTGGCATTGTGCTGTTTGATCAAACTGCACATTTTAGGGTGGCCTTTTATTGTGGGCAGTCTAAGGCACACCTGTACATTATTCATGCTGTCTAATCAGCCCCCTGATATACCACACCTGTGAGGTGGGATGGTTTATCTTGGTAAAGGATAAGTGCTCACTAACACACATGTAGACAGATTTCAGAACAGTATTTGAAAGTCATGGGTGTTTTGTGAATGTGGACAAAGTTTCAGATGTTTGAGTTCAGCTCATGAATAATGGGAGCAAAAACAAAAGTGTTGCATTTATATTTGTCTTTGGTGTATATAGAAAACAGATGTTCCCAGCAATTAACAGTAGCCCATAGGCAGTCTAAAAACAAGCAAAATTGAGTGATTAACATAGAAACTTTTTACATTTGTGGTAGCAATTATATCTTTATCAATATTCACCTGATGATCATAATGATTCAGAATGTTTCGCAGAGCCTCCGATATCTTGCCAGTGCATGTGGCCTTCTGTCTGTATAGAGCCATAAGTCGTGGTGTGTGTCTGTCAAGTTCAGCATAGAACTGTTTCTGCAGGTTGATGTTTGTGACTCGGTGGAACTCCGCACAAACCTAAAAATACAGGAACATGAAAACATCCAATATAAAGCAAAATTACTGGCCAAATTGAGAAATCTTATATTTAAAGAGGGATTTCCAAATTTGTGCCCAGTTTTATCTTAATGCTGTCATTTTAACATTTGTTTTTCAATTTGAACTTAACCTTTCCAACACAACTGTATCACAAATCTGAAATAAATTTTTTGGCATCATGAGCCTAATGAATGTAAGAAAACTTCTCTTTAATTCAAGAGAACATCAGTTCCTACATTATAGACTCAGCAAGTTTTATCTGTGGTTGCCTGTCTACTTAAAGCCGGGCGTACACTGTGCGACTTTTTCACTTTTTTGAGCTGATTTTCCACTCGTGCGACAATCCACAAGATCGGGGCGAGTTTTGCGCCGAGTGTCGTGTAGTATACAGGGGGTTACAAGAGGCAATTAACACCACATGACCAGCTATCGAGAGCTCGCACAAACTTCTGGCGTGTTTAATATTTTGCTCGTCCCTCGTGAGGGTATCGCACTTTTGAAGCGGCGCTGCGAGCAGCTGCGACGCAAAAAGTATCAGAACCGCTCACGACGCATATGCAATCCTGCATCAACACCGCTCGCCCGCTATTTCCCTAATAACACACTTTGTTCATTTTAATTTCTACACGTTTTTTACTCACAAAGACTGTCAAGAAAGAGTGTTTGTCGTGTTCAAGTCAAATTAAACTGATCACAAAACACAGATTTACTTTCTTTATTTCATTTTACTCATCCAGCCCCCATAAATCCCTGTGTGTCCTGCAGCACTCCCGAAGGACAACAGGCAAAACAAGACAAAAAAGTCTCACGTGTTGAGTAAAAACTGCTATTTTTAGCATATTTTAGGGCCGACGTGTTGCTACCAGGCGTGCAGTGTGAGCAGTCAGGTCGCATCCAAGAACTGGGTCGTGCAGTGTGAGCACATGACTCGTGAGATCTGCCCTGCGAGGAAGTCGTACAGTTTGAGCTGAAGCTGAGTGCTACGAGTGAAAAAGTGGCACAGTGTACGCCCGGCTTAACTCATTCACTGTCATTGATGACTAAAGTCGTCATTTTAGATCCCACCGTTCACTGCCAATGAAGACTTAAGTCGCCATTTGAATGTTTTTACTGTGTGGGCATTGGAATGAGCCCCCGCATCGTGACTGAAGCTCTCACCTCTAAAGCCGATCTTCATCCGCATATATCACACATGACGTGATCAGGAAGTAGAAAATCCATGTGTTAGATCGTTTTGGGTGGCTGCTGTAAAAAAAAGTGAGGTGCGAACCGGAAAAGCTTCTGCCGATCACAATTCAACAACGGATTATGAAAGAACGGATAATGCTCGAAATGCGCAGATTCTTCATGATTTAAGGTGAGTCTCCACTTTGTTTTGGTTGTTTTGGCGTCAACATCCTAGCACACAACGTTCTGTGACTCTTAAAAAAACTATAAAATTGGTGAGAAACACTGGCAGCGAAAGGGATTTACCGATCAGGAAACGGCTGGCAGCGAATGAGTTAATGTTGAAGCACCACAACTAATAGGGTGCTTAGTTGTAGCGCTTTAAGATATTTTTTCTACCTATTTGAACAATGTTTATAAGAAGTACTTTGTTTAACATGTTAAATAAATAAATCTGAATCTGAAGATCTGCTGAACTTGCATTGTTTCAAGTTAAATTGAATAAGAAAAAAAAATCAGTGCAACACCAACCTGTGAGTGAAATCGCAGAGCTGGCCATTTCTCTAAGAAGTCCTTCACCATTGGGTTTTCTTGAACGATCTCATGGCGACGCAGTGCAAAGGTTGTTTGCATCAGTTTTTCAATCATTACTTTGTTGGGCTCGGTCTTCTCAACCTCATTTTTTATCTGGACTCTCAATTCCTCCAGACTGGCCTTATCTTCTCCTCTTGGAAAGTTTGGGAGGTAGTTTACCTCAGCTTTTCGTGCTCTTTTTATGTTGGAGTGGGGATACTCTCCTTCTGGGTTGTTGATACTCCTTCTACCAGCATTCACGGACACCTCCGCGCATCCGGCTCTGGCTAGCTTGGTGCGGTAATTTCCCATCTTAAATTTTAAACTGGTCTTCCAACCATAACTTCCAGGCTCATTAAGACATGGATGAGTGGTAACAAGAGCTTTTGCTGCCAAACACACATCTCTGTCACTCGGATAGGCTTTGAAGGTGTGCATCACTGAAGCCATGGTCTCCAAGATGTTGTGCTTTTGGGCTCGTGTCAATTTCAGTTGCTTTCCAGACATCTCGTAGGCTTTATTTCCCTTCTCAAGGACATGTTCGACTTCGTAAGAAAAGGTAGGTACTGGGAAAGTGTCAGGCCAACACTTCAGACGCTGAGCTAAAGGCACATGAGGAAGGATGTCTGTGTCAGAACTTGCACAAGAACTGGCATCACTTTCGGATCGCACTATTTTTAATGTGCTCTTCTCTAGTAGCTCTTGAATATCATGTAGACAGGTAAGTTGCCCATCAAAGTCAGGGTCTTCGTATTGTAAGGTAAACTCAAAGTCCAGCCTTGGGTTGAGCTTCTCCCGGAGTATGGTGATTAGTTCTTCCACTGACTCAGGCCGCTTAGTTAGAGAAACCTTCACAACAACATCTGTAGTGCTGTAAACTCTCAGCAGGAATTTCTGAGATGCTGCCATCATCCTGTGTATAAAGCAAGGAATGGAGATGATTAAAAAATACTACAATGGTCTCAACACATATAAAAACAATGAACATCATACCATTGACCTTTTTTTATGTGTCCTTTTATGGCAGAGTGGTACTCAGAATTGGCATCTGAGTACCAAGCAATAGCCCAAAAGATTTACTGTCACAAGTGGAGCAGTACCTCTTGTGGTAATGCATACACATAGCCTTTACAAGGTCTGATAATTGTATACTCAGCAATCATTACAGCTGTCAAAAATGGGGGGTCAAATATACTATAGTCTTGTTTTCCAATTTTAATTTAAAAAGTACACTGTAAATTTCATAACAAAATAAACTTACTATTTATGCTGGTTACTTTGGGTGCATTCTAGCATTTTATGGCCAATCTTTCAACAGTCCAGAACAAAGGTAAGTATTTTACATGTTACATAGTCACAGGCCATCATTTCATTTAGTCACGGTAAAAACTAACCCTATTTCAACATCATAATCTACATTTTCTCACCAGGCATACAAACAATACATAAGAATTTACACAGCAATTATTTTACAAAACAGAGACAAACTGCAGGAGAAATATTTGGAAAAACACATCATGTGATATTAAATCAGTGAGATACATCTAAAAGGAAACAGAACTTCTAGTAGCAAACTACTTTTTACAGACTACTGTCTAATGTTGCTCTCTTAACCCCCCCCCCACCACCACCACCACCACGCACACACACATAGCATCTGCATTTTGAAACTTTGGGGTGGAACAAATCTTAAAATATATGTAAATCACATAATGCAAATTCACTTTCAGTGTAGAAGTATAAAACGTTTTGGTGTCAAAAGAAGTTTCCCTTCCACGTAGTATGCAGAAAGGGGTAAGCGGTCATTAAACTCTGACATGCAGTGGATAGCCATACAACTTGGGTAGAGTTCATATGACCTCATATGTTCAGTGTAGTTTGACCTGTGTTCTTTGCAAAGAAATGCAGCATCATTGTTAACAAGGAGGATTTTTTTGATCTCGCTAAACTGTGGCAGTCCCCCATCCTCCCCCACAGACACAAACATTCCAGGGCTGTAAGTTGTGACATCAACAATGATCTTTGATGTGCTGTAAATAATTCTGCTGTCAGTTTTATCCTTTATGTATTCTTGTGCAACTTCAGGAAGATCTGAAACCATGACAGAAGTAACGTGTGTCGTCTGCTGATGCGGCTGAAAAAATGAAGGTGCACTGAGGTAGTAGGCCACCATGTGTTGGTGCCGTGTTGCTAATGTTTTTAACACATTCTTAAAGTTTTGTGTGTCATGTATTACCCTCTTGAAAAAGCGATGCTTACCCTCGAACCTCATTGTCCATAAGTGAACAAGTGGCCCAAAAGCATGTATAAGAGCTGGGTAGTGCTCTATATAATGATGTTTTGGAAGCAGTCTTAACTCAGGAAACATGTCCTGCAGCACTTTTCTGTGGTCATCTATCTTTGATTGCAAATACTGTATGGACTCTTCATCAAATCTTGGGCACAGCATAAGCTCAACAACCTCTTTCAAATCCATTAACACTGTCCAAGCAGCATCTTCCTCAGGGACTACATTACCGTTCATGAATGGCAGTACTCTCAGCAATGTGATATTCTCATGACCATTGCCACCAATGGTCCTCTTTGTAGAGAAGTTCTTTGAGATGGGCTTTGGTTTGTCAACTTTATCGGAGTGTTGGTAAGGAAAGGACAAGATTTTTCTATTCAACTGCTCCAGAGTAAAGTATTTCTGCCGGATCATCTCCTGAATACACATGGCCAACTCCACTGGTACAATTCCCTCAAAAAGGTCATGGAGGACATCAGGAGGGAAGCCTGTGGTTGTATGAAAATACTGCAAACTTTCAGTCAGGATGCAGTTCCGTTGCACACCTGCCTGACTATGACCATCCCCATGTAGAACTTCCTGCACATTTTGGTCATAACTGGCTTTTGTTCTGAGGCTAAACTTGCCATCTCCAACATCATGAGACTGAATTAGGTCTCGTGTTGCATTGCAAAACCTACAAATAAATCCAGTTCTGAAACACTGACTAAACCCAGCCAATGAGTGGGCTGCCAGGTTGTCAGCTACAACGCACATGATAGTCCCTTTAACAGATTTACCGAGGCACTCAATAAATACACCATCTTGCTCAAGAGTTTTTAGATCTTGTAGCAAAGGACCAAATGCTTTTTCATAGCCACACCTGTGGAGATCAGGTACCTTACATAATGCTGCTAGCTGAATGACATGCAGACCTGAACGATATTTACTTGGCAAATCAGCAAACATCCAGCATACTGCACACAGTTTGTGTATTTTCCTTGAAGTGCCCAATGGATTGGCAATTTCAAGGTCATCAATGTACAGTATCAGTGGCAGTGAAAGCTCTGATGAAGAAAACAACTCATTTCCTTGGAAATATGACCCATCTCTGTGGCTTGTGTAAAGACCCTCATAAGAGATATGTGTTTCCATAATTCTGTTAAGAATGTCTGTATGTTGGAACATTTTTTGGATCATCTCAAATATAGGGACATGAATTGCTGTACAACCAGGCTCCAATACATACTGAACAGGCATTACCACAGGGTAGTTCTTTTCAATAAACGTTTTTCTATGTTTATTTGAACAAAAGTCCTCCCCTTTAGCTGTGGCACAAGCAAAAATATTTGCATTATTTACAGCATTCAGCAAATCATTAAGGATAGCCTTGGAAGGAGTAACCTGATGCCTTTGTAATACATCATGCGGAGTCTTTTTAATGAGAGGCTTTGACAATGAAATGATTTGTGCCAGAGTATCAACTATTTCCTGAGATGCCATTTGAGAAACATGAAGAATACTTTCCATCTTCAGGAACAATGAAGACAAGTTCTTGTGTAACTGCTCTCTTAACTGCCTGGTATCACAAACACTGTCTACCTCAGGAAAAGCCAAGTCATCCAAATGCTCATCATTAACATCCTCAATGGCAAAGTCACTAGTGCTTTCCACTGGCCTGCTGTTTTCGTTTGACACAAGGACATCACAAATATGGGGTGCCATTTGTAAAGTCAAACAGTCATAATCTAACAGCAATATTTTTGGTTATTTAGCATATCATTAATTCACTAACTAAATATTTAATTTACTAATTAAATATTTATTTTGGAACTAAATATTTAATTTGTAAATTAAATATTTATTTTCCGAAATAAATATTTAGATCCCAGCTAAATATTTATTTTGGAGCTAAACATTTAGTTTGCAAAATCAGTATTTGGGAAATAAATATTTAAGTCTGACCCAAAAATATAAACTATAGTGTGGAGCTAAATAACATCATGGAAAAGAAATATTTAGCTGGGATCTAAATATTTCTTTGGAAAATATTTAATTTACAAATTAAATATTTAATTTAAATTTTAAATATTTATTTCCAAAATAAATATTTAATTAGTAAATTAAATATTTAGTTAGTGAATTAAACATTTATTTTACAAACTAAGTATTTAGATCAGACCTAAATATTTAGTTTGCAACATAAATATTTAACTATAAATTAAATATTTAGCGTGCTAACTAAATATTTATTTGGAAACTTTAACATTTATAAATGTATGAATAACATGGTGAAAATATGACTTTGAAAAAGTGAACTCTCAATTTTTTCTCTTATGATATGCTAAATAACCAAAAATATTGCTGTTAGATTATGACTGTTTGACTTTACAAATGGCACCCCATAGAAAAACACTATAGTTTGAAATGAAGTAAGAATGTAAAAACAAAAATAACATTTCTTCCCGCTTTGCTGATTTATTGAATCCTTTTTGTGGGTTTTTTGCTCATGAAAGTTAAGTTATGCTTCACTAGTGACTAACTGCAGTAAATGATGCTTTGCTGCAATTATTGTTAACAATATTAAAGTTAGACGTAATTACCACTTTTATCTGAAGAAGCGCGTCTTTATCCCCGCTCCAGCTGCTGAGATCAAAGTTGACAGAAACGGGGATCCGTGCCTGCAACCCGAGCAATTAATCCGCGTATTTCCAGCAGAACACGTTTGCCGAAAGATTTGTGCGATAATCACACTTTCATTTTCCTCATACTCGACTCACGTGACCAGGCGCAAATGTCACGTAACCAACGCAATTGCGTCATGAATATGCAAATTAGAACGTTGCGACCTCTAGTAACCTCTGAGCAAGCGTCAGCAAGGCAGATCAGAACGCTTCATAGAAGCACGTGATCATAAGCTTTGATACGTCATACAGAGAACATCATTTCTTACTACAAGTCATTGTTGGTCAGAGCACTCGACGCGATTTTAAAATGCAATACGATATAGAAGAATACAACTGGGAGTTGAAAAACAAAATAAGCCAAACTGAGAGAGAAATTCAGAAAGTGAAAGATGAAATTTCAGCATTTAGAGAAAAATCTGCTTTTGAGTATAAAATACGAGAAGCCAAACATGCAGAAAATATGCAACAGAGAGGCTTGAAACATGATGCAGAAATGAAAATCCTCCATCAAAAGATTTCTACTCTAAATAAACTCGTTTTAGAGAATGACAGTCGAATAGCAGCGCTCAGAAAGGAAAATGACAACCTGAGCGTTTACAGAAAATTAAAAGAAAAACGCGATTTTGACACAAATAAGATTGAGCGACCTCCGAACAGACCTGAGACTAATAGAGAAAGGAAGATCAGCCAGTTACATAAAATGAGTCAGCTAGCTTTGAAGGACGCCTCAACACAAAGTAATGAGGTAAAACCGGCTGCATTGGGAAAAGATAATGCTAGATATAATATTTTAATTCAAGAAAAGATGCGTTTTTGTGAAAACATGACAGGGGAACTAAAGAAAACAGACGAGAAATTATTAAAGGTAGATGAAAAAATGGCTGCACTCAGGCACATCAGAAGGCTGCAGTAAAGTGAAGATGATTTGAAACAAGAAAGAGAAGAAGCTTTTGTGTTAAGATCTTTTAATCCAGAGACGAGAAGAATAATGAATTTATTTCCCAGAGAGGTACCGATCTCTCAACCAAAAGAGGCTGATGTAAAGAAAAAAGTTAGAGATCCAATGAGTTGGTTACGGGAATAAGAGGGTTAATCCCACAGTGGGGGTGTCATTTTTAAACACAGATGAGGGGAAAGTGTCGAAGGGGCATGCTAGCTCAGGCAAATAAACACGAGCTAAACTTTCTAGGGTCATGGGTCGGGTTGGGGTTGGGAGAGATAAGGCTGAAAGAGAGATGCTAGATCTTACCTTACTGACTTTGTCTCTGCGACACCAGGTTGGAGTAATAGACAACCCTCGCATCTCTGACTACAGAGTTAACGGATGTCAGAAGGTGGACGGGGAGACGTGTTTTCATACACAGGCTGCAAATGCTGTAATTGAGCCTGGGAGTTTACTGCAGGAACTGATCTGGTTCTGAAAGGACAGATGTTGTCCAGAATGGAGAGGCAATACTCGTTAACCTGAGAGGTTAATGATGATAAAAGATAAATGACCCGCTCTTTCTAACACCAGCTGAAAGCTCATTCACGCAAGAGTCTGCCTCTCAGGGGCCACGCCCACAGGGCCAGCCTTTCTGGATGTGGGTGGTGTGTCTCCCCATGAGCCTGGGACAACAGGTCCTTGCAAAGCGGCAGTTGCCATGGGGAACCTCACAGGAGTTGGGAGATTTCCACCAATCAAATTTTCCCCGGCCACCGTGGGATAGTTAGCATGGCTAGTTAGTTAGTTAGTTAGTTAGTCACTTAGTTAGTTAGTTAGTTAGTTAGTCACTTAGTCAGTCAGTTAGTTAGTTAGTTAGTTAGTTAGTTAGTTAGTTAGTTAGTTAGTTAGTAATGTGGCTCAAAAAGCTGAGTGCACCCCCACAAATGTCATCAAAATGACTGACTCAGACAATATCAGCCTCAACCCAAGATGTAGTTAGCTAGTATATCATTTAGTTAGTTAGTTAGTTACTTAGTTAGTTAGTTAGTTAGTTAGTTAGTTAGTTAGTTAGTTAGTTAGTTAGTTAGTTAGTTAGTAAGTAATTTGACTCAAACAGCAGCATGCATCCCCACAAATGTTCCATCAAAATGGCCGGCTCAGCCAACATCAGCCTCACCCCAAGTTAGTGGGATGTGTATCTCCCCATGAGCCTGGGACAACAGGTCCCTGCGGAGCAGCAGTTGCCATGGGGAACCTCACAGGAGTTGGGAGATCTTCACCAACCAATGTTTCCCCGGCCACCGTGGTGCTATTAGGATCATGGACAGGCCCTGCTCCCTCACCCTGGGTAAAGTGGGGGGTATGGGGGCCTCTGGAGGGAACGCATGAAGGAGAGACCTTGGCCACTTGTGCACAAGAGCGTCCCCCCCCACCCCCACCCCCCCATCCCCCGTGGGGCGCCACGATCCTGCAGGGAGAATTTAAGTGGGCACTGAGAATTCTCTGTTGATGCAAACACATCCACGACTGCCTGACCGAACCTCATCCAGACCTGATTCACCACTTTAGGATGAAGCCTCCAATCTGCGTAGATTGGATTGCCTCTGGATAGCAGATCTGCTCCGTAATTCAGAATTCCTGGTATATGAGTCGCTTTCAGGGACTGCAGGTTCAAACTGCTCCAAATGATCAGTTTATGTGATCATGTGTAAACAGGGGGACCTCAGACCTCCCTATCTGTTGACACATTTTTAACACAGTGGGGAAATTCACTAGTTACAGGTGTCTTTAGCAACAGGATAAAAACACTTTATGAATTATTTAGTTGGCCTTGGGAAATGAGTAATAAGCTGTTTTAGGAAGGTGGAGAGTAACGGGTTACGGCACTGTGTGAAACTTGGGGGGTGGGGTGGGGTGGGGGTGGGGGGGGGCTCCTAAGGCATCTGTTCCTCATGACCTGATGGGAATCAGCCTGTACAGACTTTCCCTCCTGATGCTTTCCAACAGCTGCTTTCCTTCATCACTTTAACAGTCAGTGAGTCACTATGATTTTCCTATATTTCACTCACATTTATGGTGGTGGCAATGTTTATGAAACTTCAGAACTGCTGTATTTGATTTCACTTTTGCATCAACAAGAGTTCAGCAGTACTAACAGCAGTCGTGTGAGCACGGGAATAACACAACAGTCTTGTGTTTCGGTTTATCGTGTGTGAAATATTCACCTGAAATGATAAAATATATACAGCTACTTACAGATAAATAATTAGGTGCATTTCCTGTGCCCTCAGTGACATTAGGCCCAAGGTGAGATTATTATTAGCATAGCGATTAGAAAATAGAGCCAAAGGAACTGTTTTAACATCAGCACGCCACACCAAGCACTACAGCTTTGTCTGCTGTCTGTACAAATTATTACATTTACCTATTTATTGAATCTGAATTATGACTTCAGTTCAAACCAATATAGGGTCTTGAAATGTATTTTCACTGAGTTACTTTTAGCTACTCAAAACACAAACCTAGAGTTATTAGGCTACTTAATAACAACGCTTCATGATTCTTTGAAATTCTTCTACACTTCTTGTCACGTTTAGGAGCAGGAGGTTAGGACCCAAGATGCAGACCCAGGATGACACGAGGCAGGAATGTTAAATAAAGAAGAATCCTTTATTTAGGATGACAAAATAAAAATCCAAAAGGGGCAGGAGGCAAAAAACCCAATAACAAAATGAAGCAGGGAAAAATCCAAAAGCTCACTTCATGAGCAGAGAACCAGAGACCAGGAGGGAGAGACAACAAACAACGCTGACATAAAACAACAATGGACCGACAAGAACAATGAGACAAGGAGGGCTTATTTAGACAGGGAGGAGCAATTAGGGAAACAGGAAGCAGGTGTATGGAGTGAGGCTGGAGGAAGGCAGGTGACAACAATTATCTGGATGGGGAAGAGAACCAGAGGAGGGCAGATAAACCTAACACTATATAAAACACAAAACTAAACCTAAAGACTAAGGGAAGGACTCACACAAACACATACACATACTGACACTCACAAACTCATACACATACAAGAGGCTGTGGCTACAACTTAAGACACACAACAGAGATGCAGACAAAGGACACATGAGGGCGCTAAGAGAACACAAAAGGAGAACCTGGAGTGGGAACTGGAGGAGCTGGGGAACAAAGGGACACAGAACATGACACTTCTATCTCTAATAACCTAGTGAATAACTTCCCTCAGTCCGTTTCTAATTATTCAATCAACTTGCAAAAGCAAAACTTCATGAAGTTATTTAATTTTTTATCTTATTGTTAAAAATCAAATGTTATTGTCCTAAAAATCTTGTCATCTTTCGACTGTAGCATTAAATATTCTTAATAACTAGAAATGTAACATCTATAAAGCATCAAATCAAATAAATCTGACAAATAAGGGAAAAATGTCTGTGTTTATGTCCCCATCTTCACAGATTTAACAATTAGTCTTAGATACATTCAATTGTGGTGAACTGTTTATTTGCGTTTTATACAAACAATTGTCTGACATGTAAAATAGTAACATTTAAAGTTTGGATGTAAGAGGTGAAAATAAAGATTTTAAAAGTTCCAAATCTCCCAGTTGCCCCTCCACCTTCTACAGGTAAAAATTACATCTAGTTATACATTTATAAGTTGGATTTGACTGAAGATTTGTGTTTTTTTATCTGAGATTATTGTTTTTATACTTTTATTAACTGATTCAATTATGTCCTCCCACTAAAACTGACACAACCATTTCTTCAGGTCAAACACCTCCAGATCTTTTTCTGAAGACAGTAGGATAAAGACCAGTGCTGACCACTGAGCAGGAGACAGTGTCTGTAGAGAGACGTCCTGAACTCAGAGACTGTTGGATCTCCTCCACCAGACAAAGATGATTCAGTTCATTCAGACAGTAGAGCAGGTTGATGCTTGTCTCCGCAGACAGACTCTCATTGAGCTTCTTGTTGATGTGATCAACTGTTTCCTGATTGGATCTGCTTCCTGTCTTCCCCAGCAGGTCTTTTAGGAGAGTCTGATTGGCCGGCCGGGACAGACCAAGGAGAAAGCGTCCAGGTGTCCATTTGGACTCTCAAAGGCCTTGTTCACAGCACTCTGATAGAGATCATTTAGATTTGGACCGCTGAAAAGTTTA